AAAAAAAATTTTTTTTTTTCAAAGAAGGATTCTACCTTTTTAAGGAGATTCTAAAATCGTTTATTTTACCAATTAAACACAATTGTCGTAAAGGATTTCTCAACTTTTTTAAGAGATACTATATGAATTAAAATCTTTATACTAGTAGATTATATGAAGAAACAACGTGGAGTTCTTAAAATTTTAAATTAAACTTACAGTTAGACATTTAATTTTATACAAAAATCCTTTATGAAATATTTTTGTGTTTGTGTGCGTATGATATTGAAATAGTAATATGTAGTGATGTGTTGATATCACATAAATCGCGTTCCACTGAATAAAACGGCCGTTTTGAAGTTCGATCTTTAGTTATAGATATCTTTAATATGTGAAGAAGTACTTGTAAGAAAATACATGTTTCTTATTTTTGTACATATTTTAACATATCGAAACTTAATTTTAAATCGAAAAAAGATTGGTTGTATTCCTTTGTCAATATTTAAGGCAGTGTTGTTAAAAGCGTCGAAATGGATGGGTTCAGTTCCTACAATGATATGTTTGCCGGGCATTTGGTGACTAAATGTGAATAATAATACCATGTACATTTGCTATGCTGTAAATTTGGAATACAATTATTGTAGAATAGCAAATCTCATATAGAAGTGAACATTCACGCACTAAATTCACGATTGTATCATATATTTTTCCTTTATATTTTTCGCTCCTTCTCCGACTTCCATATATTGCACTTTTCACATTCACAATTCTAAATTCTTCAAATCGATTCGCTTGCACAAGTTATCAATGAATCTCTCTTTCCTTTCCCTCTTCTTTCGTCCCTCCCTCCTGTCTTGTCTTTCTCCATTTTGTTATCCCTGCTGTTCTAATCGAAATTCAAAATCCTGTTTATTAACGTTACTTTTGCTATTATATGACTCGATGATATGATATGATGTTGAAATATAAAATAAATTGTGTAAATATGCCATTTTTGGCATAACTATCTTTATTGTTCCTCCTTGCATACTCCTTTTTGCAGATTTTATTCCGACATTTTTCTTTGCATATTCTAGCGTGTTAATTGTTATTATATAAATAAACATGGCATACGAAGTACATATTGCAAAATTATATTTTTTTATTATATATTATACATATATTCTGCACATGAAACATGCTGCACAATACACTCGTAGTCATACAAAGCAGTGTGATAGTATAAAAATATGTATACGTGATCAATTTACACTTAAAAAAGTTGAATAATATATTTATACAAGATATTATATATGAGGTAGTAGCAATTAGGCTGTTTTTGATTTCTTGACTTCTTTGTTACCACAAATGCGTCGAATAAGAAGTACTCGTAATGCTACGTGGTGTATTCACCTTGTCTCAGTTTATTTTTCAGAATATAAGCATTCCATTTTTGATTATGTTTTAGGTGGGTCTGGAAAAAAATGTTAAAAATGTAGTATCAAAAATGATACATTCAGTAATAAACAATATTTTATTCTTACATGGCGTTGTGAAATTGAAGACCGGATATCTTGGTGCGAAAGGCTCGTTGGCACCATGTACGTAATTTGACTCATCTTCATCTTTGATACTATCTGCTCTTTGCATACATTCTTCATATGATGGTGGTGCTAAATAAAGACAATAAGCAATATTAAATTTCATAGGACCGTACATGTGAGAACACAACCAATAGAAAATAAATATCTTTAACGGTTTAGTTGGATCTTGATTAAGTGCTTGTATAATCCTGTGTGAATGTATATGTTACGTATGCAGTACTTTAAAAGATATTATGTTTTTAAAATTGTATACTTTAACATGTTCCGTGCTGGGCTAATTTTAAGTAACTTGACCATCACAGTATTTTTATTTGTGTTTGTCATATTTGTTGAATAATATGTATTTTATAATGGTTACAAAAATTACTAAAATGATTATTAAAAAAAACTATAATGTATCAATATTATATCATTTAAAATCATAATTACAATATATGTGATATCAACAATTATTTCATAATGATGTTTCTATAAGTCAAAATCAAATGGTTTAAGTGAAAAATTTAGCGACACTAATATGTGGAACATGTTAGAGTTTTTACATGCAGATCAAATTTTTATAATAAATCTTACAAAATTATATTTTTATTTCTTAATTCTATATAACAAAAATATTGTCACAAAAAATATTTTCTTTTTGACCTTAATTTTTTATACTTCTAATTAAATTAAAACAATAAAAAAAAATATTCAATTATACGATATGAAAGATATGATATCATATATTTATTTATTTTCAAACTTTAATATTAAATTTCAAACATAATTGTTTACAAAAAATATTGCTTACGTATGTCCCACGGGTCAGTCGATGTGCCGGGTTGATTTGGCGAGGTAAAACCTATTGCCTGAGGATAAGGCGTATTTGGTGGTGCGTAATCTGGAGATGTCGGCATCGGCGGCGGTGGATCATAATCGTATTGCATTACATTAGGAGCTGTAGGCTGGTGCATGGTTTGTATATAAGATGCAGATGAAATAGTAGAGCGTAATGGAATTGTTCCGATCAAGATTGGGTAAACCTTGGTAACGCTACAATGCCTGCAATATGGCGGAAATTGTAGTGATTTCTTAATAAAATCACTAATCAGTATAATTTAATTACGATTTTCTATTTTCGTAAATTACGGAACATTTGTTGCAAATAATTACAAAATAGTTCCTAAAAATGTTAAGAATTCATTAAAAAAGCTAACTATTAACTGTAACATATATATGTACAATCGCACGAGTTAAATTGCTTTTTATTTGATTGCTACTCTCTAAATCTCGTGGAGTGAAATTTCACTCGAAGAGATTGAAAATTAAGCCAGTCTTGAAAAAAGAAGGAAGATATCACGCTTGTTCAAGAGTAGCAGATTTCTACTGTTTTTAAAGTGAGATTCATTCTTTTGGAATGAGATCCACTTTAAAAGAGTGAAATTTTAATCCCTTTTTTTGGAATGTAATATCAGGATAGACGAAACTTCGCTCCAAAAAAGGAATTAAGATTTCATTCCTTTAGAATGAATCTCATATCCAAAGAGTAAATCTCTAAAAAGAGTAAAAGTCTGTCACTTTTGAATAAGTGGTAGTATTTTCACTCTTTTTTTCAAGACTGACTTAATTCTCAGTCTCTTCGAGTGAGATTTCACTCCATGAGATTTAGAGAGTATGCTTTGGGAAAATATACACATACATCCCAGAGACATGGATGGTAATGCGCAAAGAATATTTCTGATCTATTATATTGCAGTATTCCAGTTGGGATGGTGGTATTGGCGGAACCTGTAATCGTGATGGAATGTCAGCTTGTTGGCCGAATGGTCCCATTCTTTGCTGGGCTTTTAAAATCGCCTTATCTGTCTTGGTTGTATTATATGGTGATCTCGCATGAAATTCTAAGGACTTTATAAATAGAAAAAGAGATCATAATTGCTATATTGATTGAAATTAATTTGATAGATACGCTAGTTACATAGCTATACCTACTCGTTCCAATTTAACACAGATCTTTGTCACATTGACACTGCTGGCATTATCGAGGTTGACCATAGTTTCTATCGATTGTCCTGGAACGAATCCTGTCGTCGGTATTCTGATACGTATCTTCATCAAACCCAAATTGAAACAGCAGAAACAACAAAAATTTTCGCTTATTTCGTCATCTACGCCGATCTAATGAAAAGCAGATTATTCGATTTTGGTAACGTCATCGCGCGCAGTATCTTCATTTTTTGGAGTTTATTTCTGTGTAAAAATTATAGAGGCAAAAAAATCTTTGTGTAGCGATGTTACTTACGCATTGATGACTGTGAGTGTTTAAATCGTA